AGAGATGGCGTCTGTATCCCTGCCATAGGGGCTCATTCAAAACCAGGTGCACTGGCTTCTAAAGGACTTTAATTACAGAGGGAAACCACATCAGACATGTGAACACATGCACTTGGGCACACACAGGCATACACACAAATCCTGCATCAAGTCATGTGATGTAGTTTTTGTGATGTGTATCTCTTTCTACTTGAGAGAGGCCAGGTGCAAACATGTTTGGATATAAAACTAATCTACTGATTGACACTTGAAGACAGGATTTTATTGTTCCATATCTGCCTAGCCTTTTAACTCTTTTCATCTAGAAACAGAGGTTTTTCAACTTTTTTTAGCCAGGGGTTCAAAGTGCGTAAATCTTATCTGTCTGCTACAGAATAAGGGAGGAAGCAAATGCCAGGAAGCGAGTTGGTTCTGTTGAAATGTGAAAAAGATTTAATTCCTGTTTAAACTGGATACACCAGTGAGATAAAATAAAGTTGTTTTTTCCAGCAATTGTCAAATTCAAATACAGGAAACCTGAAATTAGAGAATGCATGTTCTTCCAGAGTATTATATCTATCTTTAATGATCTTAAATTGGAATGAGTTCTTACTCAGAGATCATGGCTGGCTGTTTGAAGTGAGGATGTGTAAGAGTGGGTATGTCATTTAATTAGATCTGCCCATGACACCACTGGAAGGCTGAACTTCATGCTCTAAATCTACCAAATGCTAGTCCCTTATTGGATTTTTAAAAATCTGTACCAATCATTGAGGAGGAGGTACAAAGTAGGAGAAGCAGTTGAGTGTGAGAGACATTTCTAATTTTCTAATTTGATAACTTAAATATAGATGTTCTCGGTCCCTGTGAATACTTCCAAAAATGTGAATGCCCCTATCTACAGCCAGTTTTCAGTTTGTCTCTCCTGGGTTCTTGTTGAACTATGGTGGTTCAACATGGTGAACTCCACTGAAGGCGACCCTTGGCGTCTGTAGATATAAACAGCTCATTTTATATTCAATGATTCCTATATTCAGGTAATTATAGACATATAAAAACATAGATATGAATATTACATTGTATTTCTGCCAATAGATCCTCCTACATACTGGGCCTTTAATGATTTGTTTCCTCACAGTTCTACTGTTAATGTATTGTTTGAACTATATTTACACATTCATTTCCTAATCATTTTCAACTTCTGAGTCTGATTTACACATAAACACTGGAAAAGATGATGCTACTTTATCAACAAACTAGAAGAGCAATACAAAAGCACTGTGCGAGCTTTAAGTCTTTAAGTAAGTCTTGCCAAGTGAGGGCACGAGGAGACATGCAGTGCAGTATCTCCTGTTAGCTATACAATTCAGGCAGGGACTTGATTTTGAATACAAATATCTTAAATAATTGTTGATAAAATGAGGCCTACCATTCCATATTTTTCCAGCCTAATGACTTTGTTGATCTCTAGACTTTCCCTCTAGTGCACACATAAAGTTGACATTCTTGGTTTTGAGTAAAATGTCTCGACAACTATTGGATGGATTGATTTGACTGATGAAATTTGGTGTAGATATTCAATGTCAGGACCCTGGAATTTTGTCTATGCAGGAAATGCCCGGATGCATAGCAACAATTTCTAAGTATGCACCATGAGCTTACTGAACATACTCAACTGCACCATGTCTCTTCAGGCACCACACTGTGGCTTGTAAAAGGACTGAGCTACTCAGGACCTTAAGGATGTTAAGGTGCACTTGAGCAGAAAAATGCTCACTAAGCTCACAAATACAATGTACTGTAGAAAAAGTATTTTACACTTAAATATTTAATCATTTTTATTTGCCTTAAAACAGTGAGTTGAAGAGGTAATTTTGATATACATTTTTGATATACAATTTTCATTCAACAATATTTCTGTAATGCTGTCATCAATACAGTCATGTGATGCAGAGAGGACGTATTGCTTGAGTACACTTCTGTGTACAGTCCACTGGTAATGGCATACTTAATCATTCATTTAGTAAGCAGTATGCAGTATGTTAGTATACACAGCATTAGTCTTTCTCTAAAACTATTAATTAACATATTACATATGTTAATGTACTGGACAGACTCTCAGCTTGTAAAAAGTTGTGGTATTGTGAGAAAAACTAATTGTATTACACAATCTTACTGTGATGGTATAATTTCAGCTGTGTCAAAATCACAGATCTCTCATCATTTATATTCAAACTTGGGAAAGTCTCACACGTAACACAAAGAATCCTAGATGACCTTGTAGCCAAGTTATTGGGAAAACCACTAAAAAAAAATAAATCTTCAAAGTTGACTTTTGGAGAGGTGAGGTTTAAGTAGGAAAATGAGTATAATATAATGACTGTGTTACTTGGATGAACTTATTTCTCATACTGGGAGAAATTATAATGAGAATAACTCTTTCCTCTGTCTACTCTCTTCCTCTGTCTGCATCATAATGATGGAGTTTCTTGCATGAGCTACTTGTTTCTCACCACATGTAAGGACATCTCTCTCACTCCATCTCTCTCTCTTTCTTTCAGCCCCCCCCCCCTTCTTTTTCTCTGTGTAGTTCCTGGCAGGGCTACAGTCTATTAAACACACAGACAGTGGGTGCTCCCCCGTGGGCTCATTAGTGAGCTGCCCCGCACGGCCTAGGGAATGCTGGAACAGACCATTCTGCTTGTTCCCGGAGGGGTGCCAGAGGATTCATTATGCCGATGCGCTATGTAGTCCCTTGGTGTTGAATACACAATGTGATGTCCAATATTGGATTAATAGATAGGTTTTTTAATATATCAGTTATGATTGGAGTTCCCATGTGGTTGAGTAGCATGTGTCTTTAAGTTTTATAAAACGTTAAATAACCGTGGATCACAGCCTGACCATTGATGCATTGTTAGATGTCAGAGGTACATCCATGCCTTCATGAGAGAATCAAGATTATTCTCAATTCTAAAAGGTTCACTTTGTTTCGGATATAAAGTTTCTGCAGGGGAATTATTTTCCTGTTATTGCATAGTGAATATGTTAAGAAAGAAAGGATTGAGGTAAATCTTTTTATGAAATTGAAAATGTGGTATATATGATTAAAACTGACAATCTGCTCTTTCTATTTGAACAGGAATTTGAATTCATTATTCATATCTATTATAGTAGGTTCCTATGGTGACACGTTTTCATGGTAGAAGTGTATCTAAATGTTTATATAAACTTTTCAAACCATTCTTGCAGCCCAATCCACATAATCTTCATCTGCTGTCCATCCATGTCCTGAGGATATTGCAAGAGTGTTAGACATTTTGAGGAGGTGGATTACACAAAACATAAGCAGTTTATTTTGCCAAATGTTGCCAAAACTATTACTGTTTGAAGCCTACTTAGCACACAGATGGGCAGCAGAAAAGTGGATTATTTGTAAATTTGTCAGCATGTTGGTCCACTGTAGATGACATGAGCTGACCACAGCTGCAGACAGTTTTCAAGTTTATAGGGAGTGAATTTGCTGTTAAAAAGGCAGATTTTCAAGTTTTTAAGACTTTGTCTTAATTCTTTCATTTCTTAAATGTTTGCATTGCATACAATTGTGGACAGTGCAGGTACGTGTGAAATATGCAACAATCAAGTAGTGTAATTATGTAATTCTGTCACCTGCACCAATTTTCAGAATTACCATGATAAATTGCCATTGTGAAAATTAATGTTTCAGCTGTTATTGTGAACCTTTGCCACAAAATACAACTAACTGTGTTTTATGAATAGGCTCTATTGTATCTCATATCTAGGGAGAGTAGAGTCTAAGTGATGTAATACAGTGAAACACAATAATAACCTGACAGAGGCAATCACTTCTGTTCTACTTCCTGTCTTTCTCCACAATGACTTTCCTGGAAAAACTAATTTCCTCAGCCACAGAGATTTCATTAGTGTGGCCCCATTGTCTGAACACAAGCAACTATTCTCTATTGAGGCAAAGGTGTGTGGGCACATACAGTATACACATAAGCATACACACACAAACACTTGCACACCAGCTCATACAGACACACACATACACACGTGCAGCCTCTTTCCTTTTTATATTCAGGTGATGTTGAGAGCTAATCTAATTGTCAGTTTGTGATTGCATTAGTTCTTTGTTCATTTCGGCCTTTTGGTGTATGACATTTTTCAGTAATCGAGTTTTGAGTTTGTAACTTGACAATGAACCAGAAAATGTGTTGCTCACAATGGCATTATATTCTATACAAGAAAAAAAACAATAAAACATATATTGGTACAAATAGAAGACATCCACCACTTGGCTGTTCTAATGGTACATATTTGTACTGGCTCTGTGGGTGGACACAAGGTTTTTAAGCACATCCTGTGGAACAACATTATCTTCTTTTGGTCTGTATTGTCTCTATACATGTATAACTAACTAACTCATGGTCCCTAATCCTCTTGCAGGGATTTTATCATAATGTGTCTTGGGTCAAACCATAAAAAATAGTTAATCAATTGTCAAGTAGCTTGAATATTTTTTTAGGCAAAAGTTTCTTGCTGTAATGTTTTTTACGTAATGGACTATGCCATTAATATATCTAGTATTTACTGAGGTGAAACACAACAAATGGTTCATTTACTGTGGTAAGAGATGATCTGTCTTTTCTGCTACTGAGAATGTTTTATTGGTTTTGCCAGATCTATTGTTGTAAATCAATTTCAGTTTATAAATAGTATACTGTATACTTGTACTGCGTACTTTATACGCCCTGGTAGCTCACCTGGTAGAGCTGTGTCTTACTGCAGTGGCCCAGGGTAATTTCCAGTTTGCGGACCTTTGCTGCATGTCATCTCCTCTCTCTTCTCTCTCTCCCCCCATTTTCCTGTCTCTTTTTCAACTGTCCGTCCATTTAAGCCAAAAAGCTTGCTCAAATAATAATAAATAAAAATCACCTGGTTGATCATTGTTTCAAATTGAATATAAATGATTAAAAATTGTTGTGTCTGTCTTACAGGATGATCCTATAATTCATCACATGGCTGCAAAAGCCATAGAGAACATCTCCACCACTGCCTCTGGCCCCTCCCACCACCTGGTTACCACAGAGATGGGCTCCGCCCTGTGGTACCTGTTCACTCACTCCACTGTGGAGGCTGTTAGAGTCACAGCCATCTCTGTAAGTTTACATGCATGACAACACACACTCAAACACACGTCATATATGTGTGATTGTGTACAGATACATGAACTAACATCTCAGTATAACCTAAACCACACACACACACAATGAAAACATTGCAGTTGAGTCTAGTATTTGATATTGAAAAGGAAAGCTGATGTTATGAAGTTATACATACTTATTGGAAACTGAAGATAAAAGCAGGCAGAGATGCTTGACTGTTTGAACTTTTTGAATTTTGTGATTACAGATGAAAAAGTATTATACATTTAGACTCCCCTGGCTAACCGCAAATAATGAAAATGAATTTGACCTTCAAATGGTAAATGACAACAAATTATTTGTTGCTTTACCTACCAAATATCTATATGGGCTACATGTACATATATTAACTGAACCCTTATGCAGCATTTTATATACTGAATCATATTAACTTATTTGTTAATTACACAGTGGGTGGAAAGTTATTCATCACTTCGTGTAATGTACCATTGAGCACTTGCTCCTTTTTTTAGGCACTAACAGCTTAAGACGAGGAACTTCATGTGCAGGGGAATGGGAACACAATCCATGAATGACATTTGTTACCTCCATGTGCACATGTATGTTTATATGTCTGTCTCTGTGTCTCCAGTCTCTTTCTAGACTAACCCGGGTGGTGCCAGCAGTCTTTTTGTCAGTGATTGACACCTGTGGCCCTGTGGCTATCTTGGAGGCAGTGAGTGGAGCGGGAGCCAGGGTCCAGCAGCATCTGCTCACAGCTATGGCCACTGCCCTACTCAGCTCACGCATCCAAACACACCGCATCACACAGAACAGGGTACGTGTATACTGTAATGTACACCTGCGTAAGAATATATTGCAAAATGTCAAACACAAATACAGAGAGATACCCAACATAAGCAACCGTATTGTTTTATATAGCATCTTTTATTGATATTACTACAGAGAAATTCTACAGAAGATTTAGGTGGTAAAATCAGCACTGGGTACGGTTTGATTTTTCGAGGAATTTAGAGGGAAATGTCACTAATGGGGAGGTTTTTACACAAGGACTGAGGGGTGAAAACACAACAACATGAGGAACAAATGAAACTCTTATCAATCTTTCAATTCTCAAAATTTGTACTTACTTGGTGCTTCCTCTCTCTCTCTCTCTCTCTCTCTCTCTCTGTATCTGTATCTGTATCTGTCTCTCTCTCGGTCAGCCTGTCTCTCTGTTGCTCTTTCTTCCGTACAGTTCATGAACTGTGCATGACCTAATTTGTCAGGAATTGCTTATTTAATTTTTTACAAGACAGCCCATCTAGTGTGTATGCGAAGTGCTAATCTTGGTAAGGCAGAGGGACTAAAATTGATTTGAAGGTTTTTAAGTTGGAGTCTAGCATTGGTAATTGACTCTGAACTGAATTTATTTGCATTGAGCATTTCCAATTTACCACCGAAATACAAACTTAGTACTTCAACTCTGCTCTAATTATACACTGATATGCATTCACCCCCCTTCTCTCTCTCCCCTCTCCCTCTCTCCCCTGGCACAAATACAGACAGTCCAAGAGTTTGTTTACACAGAACTCTGTTAGTGTGTGTGTGTGTGCATGCATGTGAGAGAGTGACTGTGTGTGTGTGCACATGCATGCACATACACTAATTTGTAGAGTGTGTCAGTATCTGGGCTAATTGGCTGAATGAACGTGCTGCAGCCTTCTACTTCAGCAAAGCATTATGGGTAGTGGGGAGGGACTTATCAGCTAGGCACACACCAGTAGGCTTTGAAATTAATTAACTTGGTTTGCCACCCCATAAACACACATGGATGCACATTCTCTCACACACACAGACATACACACCGTCAGAAGTGTATGGTGTTGGTGATAATGATAATTGTAATGAATTTTGGCCAGTCACAAATTTTTCCAACCAGTTATAGTTGCTGAGTTTTATGCTGAGTGAATGGATGTCGAAAGTAGCTGTAGGCATAAGTTTTTTTGTGCGTGTGTGTGTGTGTGTGTGTGTGTTGTATGTGTGCATGTTGTGAGATAATGTGGAGTCTGAGCTGATTAGGTTTTAGCCTGTAAGCCGATGCAGTGTCAGAATTAAATGTTTTTCTGGACACCGTAAGGAAAATGATAAATTGAATAATTTCTTGTTTATTTAAATACATTATATGGATATGTTGCAGGAATATTGTTTGATAAGATCATCTCAGAACATAGCATTGTGTACATTGTGAAAAAAAAAAAGTCTCCTTATACTCTGAATTAACCTACTTGTTACCACGTAAACGTTTGGGTGACACTTTGCTGTGTTAAAAGGCTGTTCCATATAGCTGACTTGTATTTGAATTGCAAAGTATAGTACCTTGGAAAGTACACCAGCAGAAACATTCACAACCAGTCAGGAAGACTTTCACTTTATTTTATTTGTGTGTTTGTGTCTTGTAGGATTTGGTGTTGAAGGTGCTGCGCTGTCTAGAGAGTCCATCTACAGTAACAAGAGCCAAAGCCTTACTACTACTACTGCTGTTAATACAGGACAACACGCACACACTGCTTTACTGCTGTCAACACAGGTAAATACACACTCACCACAAGCATGCACACGCTGGGGGCACAGATTATTATACCCACATTTGTTTTATATGACTAACAGAACAACAACCAGAATGTAGCTAACCTTTGGTGACTTACTTAGTTGTATTAAAATGTAACCATCTCATATATCAAGTGGATCTTCATAAACAGCATTTCAATGCAAACATGAAAGCAAACATTAAGATTTGGTTATTCTTCAGTATGTAATAATCTATGCAGCTCTGGAATTGATGATCTGTCCTGTTTAGTATGAAGGAGGCTGCAAGTCTCAACTATAATTACATTTTTTTGATTAAAGAGTCACACTCTTTTTTAACTGTAGTGTAATGCAGTTATAACATGTGGGTCCTGCCTGAGAGGGATTTGTGTCTGTAACAGTTATCTTACTACATAGTATACCTTGTGCGCTCTCCTACTGGCTGACTCTACTGAGGCTTGGACCATTGAAGCTTACTCATAACTTCACTCAGTCTGTCAGACCCCTGGCTAATTAGTTTCTGTGGAATGTAGTTGCCCATGTTCACATATAGACTGAACTGTCAGAGAACAAACAAATAGCATTTGTGAATTCCATTTCAGGGTGGGATTCCCCTTTAATTATTTAGCTGTAGCTTTCAGACTGTGTTCTCTTACCCAGCCACACCATAGCTAAAACTGAATTCCCTCTTCGGTATACAGTGCGGTCGAGCAAATCCAAAATTGTGCTCCATGTTTTTGTTTTTGTGATATTATTCATTTGGCATTTGTACTAACTACCACATCTACACAAATTTACATAATGAATTTGTGTATAAGATACAATGTGTAGTTCCAGCCAAGCAGTCCTATCGGTCCAAGAGTTGTTCCAGAAGGCTTGTGTATCTTATTGATGGGAAGATGGCTCACTCCTGTCAGTTTAAGAGCTTTTCATTTTGTGGTGTGCTGTTGCACACACTCTACATCCACAGTAATTTACTAAATCTGAAAACATTGTTTACTTTGTGACTTGTGTCCACACTTCCGTTTTCAGGTTGTTACAGGCAATAGACAGTTGATCTTTTCACTGTGCTGCCACACAGCAGCTGAGCATGTCTAAACATTTAGAATAGCTTTTGTTTTGGGTGTTAAAAAATAGCAGCTTAATGTGGACATAGAGAAACAGCTTAATTTCCACATGTTACTGACTTAATGTGGACGAGTTATACAACAAACTGAGTTAAATATTTATTAGATTATTAAACTAACAAATTGGGCCATGCGTGCTTTTATGGAGTGATTTATCTTGAAACAGAGGTTTCACATTCTGTTAGAAGCACACAGAGATTGCTTTTCAACACAGTTATCTGTTATTTAAAGCAGACTGCATTTAAAAGGGAGACTTTCTCCATAAAAATGCTGCCTGAGGTTGTTGGCAAGGCAGTCGTACTCTGCATAACCTTTGCGTTAACTAGCACAGCAGCCGTGGGAATGATAATATAAATGTATGTACCCTGGACATTCAGTTTGTGCTGCTGTGTGTTGTAACTTCACTGGAACTTCAAATGGTTCATTAGCTGGTTGTCCTGTGTTTCACCCCACACTAACTCGCAATGCAGCTGTGAATGTGCATAGCCCACTTGATCAGATGCATATGCATATGCAGCCAGTTCCCCTGGTAATTTATGACCAGTTGGTATTTCAGTTTCAAAAAGATGCCCTAGATTACTGACATATGGATGTTTATAACTATCTCCCTCCATGTTGTCTCTTCTCTCTCTCACTCACTCTCTTTTTTTCTTCCCATGTTTGTTTTATTTTTTTTACCCTCTCTCAGTCTGAGACTTTTTTTCTGACATGTCTAAACTGCCAGGTTAACTTTTCCATAACAAACTAAGGTTGAGGTTAGTTAGTTAACAACCAATTATTTACTTTTCCTAATAATTATTTTTACTCACCAAAAATAAAGTGCCAATCCCAATATACAACTTTATTACCTTTTGACAGATATAACCACAAAACCTCTCCTTGGCAGCTGCTGATTAGCTTTCTTATGTCAGTCAAGTCATTAAATGTTTTTAATTGTTTTACATTATTATAAGGAAATTTAAATTATAAGCTGTGTCCCAATTCCATCATACAATGCTAATTGGGTTTTGATTATGTAGTGGGTTCACACTTATAGTCTGACAAAAGTAAGTATCCTCGAAGATTATTATGCATAATAAATACACTTGCTTTTGGAGTGAAGGAAATAAAGCTGCTATTCTCAGCTGGACATAATTAAAACAAATTGGTTGTGGACAGATCCAGCAATATCGTGGAAAACAAAAAGGAAGTAACTTTGAAAAAACATTTTGTTTCCAAAATTTAAATTGGCAGTAGCCTTTCAAAGGTGTAATTTGATGGTCATATCTGTCAGTGCATGTCTACATTACTTTCTTCTACACTAACTGCTTAAACACATAAAAATAGTAGAACATAGTATGCAAATCATAGTATGTTTATGTCCCATAGAACTGAGACACAGAAATTGTCTGCAGCAGGAAATGGATATGAAACAGCAGGATTACCTCATTTCCTGCATCATATGCTGGGTCTCTTGTTATAATGACTTTGCTTTCTTATATTTAGATATGAGAATTATCTTCATTCCTGAAAGTCTGAATATGTGACTTATACACGTGACTCCAAAACAAAATGAAGGCATTTTTTTTCTCACTTTCTCTTCAGCTCTTTTTCTCTGCCTGTCTGTCCTCCCTGTCTCTCTCCTCTTACTTGCTTTCCCTCTTTTCACTGTGTTAGAGCTGTCAGACTTGACCTGCCTGTCTCTCTCCCACCGAGCACTCTACATGATTCAACCACACACAGACACACGTCTTTCCCTCAGTCCTGCTCTCACCCAGGCACGTTGTGTTTAATTAGCTCCTCAGTGGCGTGAAAATGTGTGTGCTCGTATGTGCGTGTTTTTGTCTGTATGAGATAAACTTGCACAGGCCTCACTGAGGAAGTGTCAAGATTGCCATTGGGAGTGGAGTGTGATGGCTTTCAACAGAGGCAGTCTGACACACACACACACACACACACAGAGCGGGCCACTTGTAGGTCAGTTGTGTGTGAGTACTTTGTGAGTCTCCCACTGTGACTGACAGAGAGGTGGCAAGTTTGTCTTTCTTTATTTAGCAATCAGGAAAAAATGGCTGCAAGACTAACAGGAACACACAGGCTGAAGCCTAGCTGGGAGACAAATAGGCAAACAGACAACAAGCTGGCATAGAACTGGTTAGAGAAACAGACAGACAAATAAATAGCCAGACAGACATGCATGTACAATAGATGGAAAGATACACTGAAAGCATTTTGCATTAGAAAAAAATGTTGCATTATATTCAAGTCATCAGATAATGTTGACTGTTGTGTTGTTGAAGATTCTTGAACCAAATGTAAACTAAAGGGCCACCCCCACACCAAAATTCAAACACATTCGGTAATGAACCTGCTATCACTCTTACCTTGACTGACAAGAAAACACAAGCTGCAGCAACAACGGTTAAATCTTACTTAAGCTTGATTTATACTTCTGTGTCGAATGAACGCCTTAGGTATGGTGTAACCTTGTACCCTACACCACAACAACTGTGACTGGTGCAGTTGATGTCTGTGTGTGTGTGTGTATTGTCTGAGAATAGGAAGAGACACATGCAAAGCTCAGATGAGTTAATAATGAGTATCCCTCTTCAAACATACACAAACACATGTCCTCACACACACACAGACAAACAAAAGCACAAAAAAACACACATGGTCCTCTGAAATGCACTGGACCCCTAATATATTAACAGTAGTTGTGTTGCATTCGATATAACTGCAAACCCTGGCTGCTAATCTTTTATGCAGCATTATGAGGAAAAATACTGAATTAGTAATCCCCCACTTCCCCTGCACCATTGCCACTAATGCTTAAAATCAATATTTTTGTTAACTAATATGACCTCTCTGAATCTCTCTGCATGTATCTGCATTCATGCCGTTTGTTCTTGTGTGTACTTGTGCACACAAGTGTGGGTGTGTTTGTGTGTCAGTAATGAATATCAGTTAGCAGTGGTAACCTTTCTGCTCTGCTCTGAATTTATGAATAAAATATTATTGATTACTGTTCAATACAAGTCTGACAAGAATAAAAATGTTCGTTCTGTCTGTCTCTCTCCCAGCCAGTCTCCATGCCCCTTCTTTTTATGCATCCTGTCAACATTTTATAGCCTATTGACAAGAATCATATTGTTGATGTATCTGCTTTATTTCATCATTTACATGTTATTTATTAAGTTCAAACTTCTGAGCAACTCACATTGAGCAGAGCAGTAGAAAACATGAAAGCATAAAACACTAAAAGCAGTCAGAGTGAAAAAGCAATCTACATTCTTGAAATATTAATGTCTATGTGTTAATCTGTAATGTTAAATACATTCTGTGACATGTAAAGCATGTGTGTCTCTTTCTGTCTAGACTTGTGATGTACATGGAGAGAGACCTGCGCAAAGCCACTCCCCTCAGAGAGAACCCCAGCCAGTCAGGATACCTGTCTCAGTGTCTGGACCTACTGATCATGTATCTGAGCAGCACTGCACCACTGATTCTGGGTACAACAACAGATAATTTATGATTTAAGATCATTTTTTTGCCAGATATGGTAAACAAAAAAAAAACATGTATGGTCAAGTAAAATAAACACTGTAATAGCTTTTTGTGCTTTTCTCTTTGTTTTACATTTTGACAGTATGTAAAAAGTTGTGATAATAAGGTACTTTGGTACTTCTCTCATCCCTTCTCATCTCCTCGGGCTCCTCTCCTCTCCCTTCTCCAGAGGAAGTCTTATGTGCATTACGAGGTGTGATCGGGAGGAGACACCCATCTACAGCTCAGAGCAGACAGCTTAAACACACTTTGCCTACAATGTCTGTACTGCTCGAACTTCTTTCATCACAGGTAACGTGGACCAAAAGGAGTTTTCTTCATTGTTTGATTTTTAAAGGTGCCATGTGGAATACCTGGCCACATGCTCCAAAAAAAAAAGGGGGGGCAAAGTTCCACCTCTTCCCACCCTCAATGTTATGGCACTGTTCAAGATTGTTTACAGTTAGACGTGTAATAAACCTTGCTATGTCCTCAGAAAGTGTATAACTTTCCAACCACACCTGATCTCAAAATACTAATGCCAAGTGGTTACAATATGACTGTGGAATTATTTGTGTTAATTTGCATTAACTGCTATTACTATGAACCGCTGAACCCACTAACTACAACAGTATAAACCCCAAATAAACAGATTTTTGCTGTAATTTGCCATAAACGGATCAAAAGGATGCCGAAATAACTACATCATGATGCCGCCTTTTTAAAAAGTCTTAATTCATGCTTTGTCAGGTCTGTCCACTTTTAAAATGTTTGTTTTATGAATGGAGTTCGGTTTGATCAGGGCTATGCTATGCTCACTTGGTACCTAGTAAATAAACAGTTACAACTGATTTTTGAAACTTAGCAGATTGTCCAACTTCCTTGCTTACTTTTGCCCAAGCAGTCTTCTTTTTCATCCAGTCTTTGTATAAATATTAAGTAGTCTGGTGTTATTTCATGTTTTTAATCTTTAAACATTCATGAACTAAAATTTTCTAGCATTATTGCCTGTATGGTCCACATAGATTTTCTCATAAATTACCAGTACCCATCCTCATTGTTCAACACAGTATTGGCCATTCAACCTCAAAAGGTAAATTATCTAATTATCCATATTTTTGAACTGTCGTTATGGCCTGGGTGGTGGGCCTGTAACAGGATATGTTATAATGTACTTAATTATGGTTAGGGCCAGATACATACACCTAGCTATATAAGGTGCTGTGACACTACATTTTAGTTTGTGTATAAAGATCCAGCAAGAGAAATAATGTTATACATACTTTTGCTCTTCACCTTCCCTTTTCCCCTTAGTTGTCCCATCACCCCTTCCTTGTTTGTCTGTGTGACTGACTCTCTCTCATCTTACAGGTTTTTAGGTCTCAAATTGTAACTGAAGAGTTTCTAGCTCAAATTGGATTGCTGCTGGTAAGTGTAATACTGTATTACAGTCATAAGGACTCTTTATCTGTCTCTTCAGTAGAGCGATGGTTTTACAAACTGAAGGCAAAAAAAGAACACTGTTAAAACTAGGATGCTTTAGATTAGATGAGATGATTAGATAGATACTTTATTCATCCGCAAGGGGAAATTCACAGTTAACATTTTGAATTCCAATTTGTGTGACAAGTTAAAATGTATATTCATATTCCAACAAGTCTAGGCAATTAAGACATTTAGGATGACATAAAACACAGAACTGATATGTATTGTAGTCTATTAATTAATTTGCATTAATTTTAGGTTTTAATTAATTTAGGCAGGAAGAAATCTGGGAACCGCAACACAAAATGAAAACAACCCTCATTAATGACAGTACACGCTATGCAGATCGATTAGATGTAATTTCTACTCCCTCTGTTTCTTACAGAACTATATCACCTCTATAGAGTCCAATGAAACAAATCTGGCCAGTGCTCTGGGTGAGTTACTGTCTCAATTACGAAAATGGTTCAGATTGTGTTTTTCTTCTATACACTGTTGAATAAAAACTTCAAGTAATGAATGAAGTGTTTTGTAGTTGGAACAGTGTCATATTTTTTAGCATATAAAGTTTGGCTGTGAAGGCTGCTCTCACAAGCAACCTTTGGATCATTAGGATTTAAAAAATTGGATTTGGATTACAAAAATGTAAATATTAGTGTTAATATGTAAAAGTTAAGGAGGCAGATACATGCAGTCTCAGACAGGCAGATGTGGCATTTAAGATGCTTGTGCTCAAGGCAAGATACAGAGTGCAGGGTCAACCACAGTCCACTGCATCTGGAGAAGCTGGAGGGGTTCAGTGCCTTGCCCAACGGCAATAATATCAACCATATTTCAGTTTCTAGCTCACAAATGGAATACACTCAGCCGTCAGTGCAGAGAGTTCAGCTACTGATCAGTCTGTAGGTCATCCTCCACTTTCATTGAGGAGACGATTCAGTAGGGCTGAATGATATTTGATTCCCTGTTAGGTGCAACAGTGTGTGAGGAGTTGATTAGGACATCTCTGTCCATTGTGGAAGTCCTGAGTCAGCACCATGCTCTCACCGCTCCACATCATAGTGCTGTAAGTATGCATGCAAGCAAATATGCAACTGACTTCCTGTCTGACTCATTGTCTGTCTACCTGATACAGCACTGGCATTGTTTTTGTATCTGTCTGTTTCTGTGTCTGACTGACTACCTGTCTGTCTGTCTGTGTGTGTGTTTCTGTCTGCCTGCCTAACTGACTGACTGTCTGCTGAGAGTGTAGTAAAGGAAAATAGGACAGGTATCTTGTGATATTCAACAAATGTCAGTGCATTATATCTGACAGGACTGACAGCCTGTCATCATCCTGATATTCTGTTACTCTTCAGACTGTCAGATTTCTAACATTTCTTTTTACTGTTTACTCATTTAGAAAAGCACAAGTGATACATGTGTTGCTTTGCTGTGACAGAAAGCTTGCAGAGAACAATTAAGGGCCATAAATTGTCAGGTGTATGTTTAAGTGTCTCCATGAACATCTCATTTCATATAGTGCCCCCCGTATTTATATTTAGTTTGTCTTCTTGTCTACTAGACTTGTCTGTTAGTTGTCAGAGGACAGAGGGTCAACTTGTGCGCTATTAGGCAAGACACTAATCAACTATTGAACCAACAGAGCCTCATAAGATCTGTGTGCGTTTCTGTGTCAGTGTACGTACGTGTATGTGCACGGGATGAGACAAGATTGTGTTTAATGACTATTGACATATGGAAGTGGAGAGCAGCAGGAAGCAGACAGGATAGAGGGGAAAAAAGAAAAGAGATGAGGAATTGAGGAAAGAAGCAAAGAGGAGGCTTGCTGCTGCTGATAGTCAATAACACAGGAAGACACTTTAATTACCACCAGCCAGCTCAGATTAACTTTTATTCCCCACTGGACAAGGACACACAGTCATGTTTGAGTAGTTTACGTCTCTGTATCCTTATCACAAAGTAGAATTTGCCCTAAGTTTTGCGTCCACTATGGAAAAGGTTAAATTTGTTCTTTAGCCATCTGAAAGTTAAACATTTCACCTATGTAAGCATTACCTGTTCAACCAAGTAGTTATGGGAATTAATTCACTCCCAGTTGATTCAATGTATCATTGAACTGCAATATGGAAAAACAGTTAAAACACTTCACAGGATACACAGACCTTTAAAATCTGAATTAATATCTGTAAACAAATACAAATTAAAATTCATGTCAGTCACTAAGCAGGATGTTACTGCACTAAATGTGCATCCAGCCACAATGGTTGTTTCATTGCTTTTTGGGTTATGTTTAGGTTGTGAATAAACAAAACACATAGTCATTTCTCAAAAAATACATACAACACCAGACACTGACTAACAATAAATGAGTTTCCTGAAAAAGCAAACTGGTGGTTGCACTTACATCACTATTAAACAATATCAAATTGAGTTAACAAAGAATGATTGATTATATTGATTTCTCACTTGGTGGAATAGAGAAAACCACCAGCCTCTTTTTAACTGGGTCTGCTGCAGTGACAATTCAGTCTTCTAGTAAGACTAAGATATATTGAGCATGTCGTTATCCAGGAGCTGCATGCTGCATGCAACAATAGAATATTTGTTGTAGAATTAATGATATACAGTAGCTTCAGCACAGTAAGTATATTGGTAGAAAAAAGCAGTTTTGTGCACTGCCTAATCAACAATGTACACATGAGGTTTGTTTGTTTCTTTACTGAAGGAAACAGAAGTAGAAGACCAGCTTTTCCTTGTGATTTGCAAATAGTATAAGGAGGCCAAATAAATTTATATGCAACCTAACACAGCTTCATATATATATTACTATTTTTTTATCACTCTAAAGCAAAGTCAAGGAAATTGGTTACAATAGTGATGACAGGAAGAACTGTATTTTTGCACAGCTTGTCCAATAGGCTGCAGGGTAGGAGGGAGGGCAAAAACAGAAAATGGGGACAAGACAGGATTTCAGTCAGTGAGGGGACATGTCACCCATAGTTCACAGTTCAGAGAAATTGCGCCAAGCCTTTCTCCCCACACACGCGCTATCCAGTCTTTTGATGATTGTGATATTAATACACACACCATTAAGTGGTGGACAACATCCTTTGTAGTTTCCTTTCTCTGGCTTTCAATGTAATGACCTCACACACACTCACTCAGCATTAGTGTTGTTTCTATGGTAATATTAGTAATCATGCAAATTCATGCAATACAGATTCATGCCTAAATAAGGGCTTTGACAGTAGTGGAAGTACATTTGTGTGTGCGTGTGATCAAAGAGAGCATTCAACAGTGCATTTCCATAGTAATTTGATCCTCTGTGACAGTGGTCTGTGTGGTTGATGCCCACTGAATTAATATACTACAGTGTCTTCTATTCACTTTAATGTAAAAATATATCCTGTTTTCAGATTTGCTGTATATTAAGTAGGTTTTCAGAGAAAAGGCGGAAATTGCTTTTATTGATATATTTTTTACCTCAAAGGAGAGAACATGGGACCAAATTGAACCACTGATAATATTTATACTGTTTATGTTCAACAGTGAGATTGAATATGAACTTTTACATAAAAGCACATTGGTAGTAGTTGTGCTGGTACATTTTCTACAAGTTAATTTTCTACTGCCAGAGAATTTTAGCCTATTTTGATCTTAGACCTGTTTCATGTCCATGGCACTGAGAAATTATACTAACTGTATATAACACCTGACTGTAAATCATTCTGCCAGATTTTGCTTTACTAGAGGACCAATACAGTGTATTTGTTTATTTTTCTTGTCTATTTATGTATCTTGAAGGTTGTGGATGCCATCCTGCCACCTCTGACAACGCTGGCTTTCAGCAGAAACGGTAAGAAAGATGGTCATTTTTAAGAAAGGCAAGAGAGAACAAGACAGAGGAGATGTGGAAATACAAGCAAATGTCAGAGTGAAGGAGAAGAAGGAAGAAAAAAAGAACAGAGGAAATGGCAAATGGAAAAAAAGTACAAGACAGGACTCTAGCCGGCGACCTTTGTTGCCAGTCACACATCCCATTCTCTCCCCTTGTTTCCTGTCTGTTATCAAACAGAAAGAAATGCGAAAGAAAACCTAAAAAGAAAGCTAGATACTGTACATACATCCATAGAAGTAGAGAGACAGATAAATACATGAGGAAAGGTCTATAGAAAGGAGATGGCAAAGAAGAGGGGAGATTGTGAGCAAAAGAAGCAAACCTTGATGTTTAAGGTTGTAAAAGTCTCTGCATTAATTAATCACAGTATCCAGTGAAAAGCGTCATTGTAATTATTGACTGCAGTATTTTGTTTTCAGTGAGTCATTATGTTTTCTGTGGGTCCCAGCATGACAGAGTAGGAGTATGTTTTGTGGAGCAAGTTTCTCAGTGTGAACTGAAATTAGTGTTTTGTGTGGGCCATGAATACTGTGCTTCCTTTTGACTTCTTATCACTATGTAGCTATTTTGCTCCAAAAGAGCTTGTAACCTTGAGACTCTGTTTTTGTAAGTATGTATATATTTTAGTATCTACTGTATGGATTTGATCTACAACTGTATATTTTATTGATATGTAGTGTAATGTTACACTGTCTTTTTGTTTGGCATTTGCTAAGTTCAGTTTATTTGAATATGTACATTTTATATTATTTGTAAAAAGAAAATCATTAGAGTAAAATACCTTATTAACACATCGTACTGGTCAAAACATGCCACTGAACATCAAGTCAACTTTATTTATGTAAACCCAATATCATGATTTACAGTTTGCCTCAGGGGGCTTTACAATCTGTACAGCATATGACACCCACTGTCCTTAGAGCATCCATTTGGAAATGGAAAGAACAAAAAACAACAACCCCACAATATATACAAATTATGATGACAAAGTTACAGATACATAAAGATTTTAACACATATGTGAAGAGTATGGATCCAGGAGGTAATAATCCAAATAGGTAGGAACTGGACCACTTAACCTCCTCTCCAATATGGAGAACATCATCTTCCCTCAGTCTTGAGCTCCAGTGACATTCTCTCCGAGTTGAATACTACTACTACTACTGACTACACTCACATACAGTATGATAAACACTTGTTCATTATATTAATACTCCTCCTCTTTCTGTGTGTTTGTGTGTTCCAGTGGAGTGCTCTGTGTTTGTTTTGAGGGTACTGTCCGAACTCAGTCTTATCCTGCTAGTACAGGAGAGTGATGGAACGGAGGAAGATGAGGGGACAGAGAAAAAAAAAGGGAGGAGAGAGGAAGGAGGAAGAGGAGAAGGAATAGTTGATGGAAACTCTCATCAAATCTCAGCTCTCATCATTAAATCTCTGCTTCCAAGGTTGGTCTGACTCTTTCTAAGTGTTTCTGGTCTCCTCCTTTTTTTCTGTAGAAACAGGATTTTAACATAAATAAAAAAAGTTTATTATGATTCTAATTCTATTCCATATCATCAGTTTTATGCCAGTGGTATTGTTATTGAATTTTAAAACAATATTTCTTCAACAATGTTCCAAAAAGTCCAATCTAGTCGTTGGCCAGCACCCCACTCTTCTTGGTAAAAACTATCTGTAGGTAGGCACAATATTTAAGCCAAAACATCTGGAATACAGTGGTGAGACCCTGATTTCTTGAAATGAAAACAGGGATATCCAACCATCAGTTCTATAATTTTAACACATTTTGTTTGGGTTTCCCACCAGTTGACTTCTTTTTATAGATACTAGTAATGCGGTAATGTTTTATTGATCTCGTCTAAATGGAATAGTATTTTGTGAGTTGGACCCTGCTTCTTTGGGTCCACGTCACATCTACTTGTCAGATACAGCTAACTGACAAGCATCTGTCTTTATGAGTGTTGGAATGATTGTGAAATATGTGGAGAGCAGGAGAGACAGACAAATTCAGTTTGCAGAAGTTCAAATCATGGAGTAACAAAAATACAAAATGGATGTTGACATTTATGGTGGGTTTTTCTCACTTTCCTTTACACCCTCTATGTGGATCTATACCTTCTCCTCCTATACCATTATTATTTTTATCTCCCATTTTAAAATGTTTTCCTCGCTTATGGTTGTCTCATGTGTTACCCCTTGTTCACCTTTATTTCCACTACCATTTCTCCTCCTCGCACTTCCATCACCCCTCTTCCCCCTTTGCCTCTCAAATTCTCTCCTCTGCTCCTCTTCCCACATTTCTCTCCTTATTATAACTCTAGTTCTCCCCTCCCCCTCTTCTCCACCCCTCTCTCCAGATCTGTTCCAGTTTACACTCTGTTACTAATGATCAGAACAGTACATTAATTATTAACACTACGAAAGCCAAACGTTGTACTCATGCATGTTTATGTCTAGGTATGAGTCTCTTCTTCGAGCAACAGAACCTATCCCGCTCTACGCACTCAAACTGCTGGTATCGATGACTGAACACAGCACGCAGATCTGCAGGTAGTGTACACACAGGCATCCAATCAGTCACACACTTCAATCATACAGAGACAACAAAACACTTATAAGGCATTGCATTACCAAATGCGACCTTACTGTACCTTACAGTAAAAACCCAAGCATTATCAGCACAATACAGTACACTGAAGAGTACGGAAAATGTAGTTTTACTTCTGACTCTATTATTCTGGTTCTCTGTCCAAGATTAAGCTTTGGTATTATTGAAGTGTTTTGGAGTCCTAGCAGGCACACACAAATACACACTGGCACATTTTAGGCGTTCTGTGTGCAATGTTTTAATGCCAAGGCCAGTCTTGCCCAGTTCAGCACTGTGAATCACTACTGTTTTTTTATTCACAACCTTGCACACATACATACACACGTATAAATACACACACACACACACACACAGTTACTATTAGCAGTGATTGAATTACTCATTACAGTAACTGCAGAAAAATATATCATTTAGTTATTGATTTAGGTGACACATTCAGAGCTAATAGCAACATCAGCACAGCTGCACCACTGCTGGTAATCTACATTCAACAAGACCTTTTTCACCCTTCTTAAAGACAGTGTTTTCTACACTAGTAATCCGTTTAGTGGCAGGCATAAGGTGCTGTATCAGCTAAGATGTTTAAAGTCTTGACATATTGTGCTGATATATCTTGGCACACTAGCAACTCCTGAAGAGCTTTGTTAAAACGTGTACTGCACACTCTTCAAATATATATACGACACTAAGACAAAATTATTGCTGGCGCCAAAGTAATGCAGTGCATAATGTCAGAGTAATTCGCTATTCAGGAATTTAAAAACATGTCTTGAGGAAGCAGCCTTCTGACACCAAAATAAAAAGAGGTAAGGATGTGTTTTCTGGATTGGCTGCACAGAGAATCTGCTGATCCCAAGGCTAACCATGAGATGACTCACCTGTGTACGTGTGTGTGTACGTGTGTCTGTGTGTGTGTGTGTGTGTGTCTGTGTGTCTGTGTGTCTGTGTGTGCATGCGTGCACTCACTCGTGCATGCACTGATGCATGTGTGTTTGATAGATGTGTTCTGACAGCAGCTGTCAGTAGGTCTTGATTCTCTGGTCATCTGTCTTCTCTTTTCAGCTGTTGACAGAGACAGAAATTGAGGGTGAAAAAAGAAGAGGCAGAGAGAGAGAGAATGGGAAAGGCAAGAAGTGGAAGGAGGGGTGGATGGAAGGATTGAAGGAGGAATTAGGAGATAGGCATGGATTGAGTTAGATGGATGGGGAAAGGGTAGCATTGGGAAGAGGAAATGTTGACAAAGTGTGGGGGACGAGGATAGATGGATAGATGAAGTGTTAATGGGTGAGGTAACATGACTTGAAATGCATCACCTCTTTGCTCTGAAGAGAAGATGAGTGAAAGTAGGTGATAAAATGATGCAGACTCCATTACGAGCAGTTGTTTGAGCTATAGATTAACCAAATTATGGAATCAGAAGTCTTCTTTAGCAAAACATAGTTGATAAAGTTACTAATAATACAAAATGTATATTCAAACTTTGTTGGCTATTTTAAAGACAACCTACCTTTTGGTCACTTAGTCTAATAATACAGTCATTATCAATATTTCTGGATCACAAAGTGGTCATATACATGGAAATGTCCATGGCCAAATATTGTAGCTCATCCATAGCTCTATATTCCATCTTTAATCGTTCAGTACTAAGTATTAATTTAAAGTAACCATGATTGTTAACCTTCTGTTTTGTCCTTCCCTCATTTATTTCCCCTCTTCCATCCATTTATTTTATCTACTTCAGCAATAATAACTCAACAAACCTCTTATCACTAATTTCCCACTCTCCTTCCATCTCCATCCATCCCTCCCAGAGTTCAAAGTTCACTCTCATAACTGAATACGTTCCTACTTCTCTTATAAGTAATATTACCCCCTCTCGTCTCCATCTTCCTCTTCCTCCACCTCTCCTCATCCCCCTCTTTCCTTGACACAAGTAGAGTGACGTGAACTTTTCAAATTGGTGTCAGCACTCTTCTCTTTACATCTCTGTTTTTCGCACAGTCTTTTCCTCTGACATTATTAACAGTATTTTACATTTTTTCTCTGTCTCCTTCGTTCTATTTTTCTCACCATCTCTAATTTATTAACATTAGTCCACATTTCCCTCTTTCTCTGTGCCCTCTCTCCACAACTCTCCCTCCATCACTGCGGTTATACAATCAGAAATTAAATTGCCTGGGTCTTGGTTAGATAAGTGTGGCTATGAAGCCAGCCGAACAGTAATTAGATGGTAAATTGGGGACATTAACATTGGGAAGGCGGCCTGCTGTTTCTCTCTGCATTATCACAGCCCAGACACACCTTCAAACAACTACATTTACTATGACCTTTAGCCAAAGAATCTTGTGCTGTGTGGTTACATATATGCGTGTGCCCATGTATGTTTCAATGTCCTCATATGTATATGTGTCTGGATGTGGCCTAGCCCTTACACATATGCCATGCTTATTAACCAAGTATCAGGTAGTATTTTCTCCTAGTTTAACTGGGTTGGCTATTGTGTGATTGTTTCTTTTATCGTTAGTTAATAGCTTGACATGGACTCAACCTTGCAAAACCGTTGCATCATCAAATTGCTAGAGTCATTTGGACACCTAAGTCTCTCTAAGCCAGAGAAAAGTGGAATCATTAGGTGTTACCACCAAGGTGGTCGTTTTCTTTTTTTTTGTAATTTATTTTTTATTGACATTCGGAGTCAGGCACTCATATTCATCACATACATCTTATAACCATATATCTAACATCTGTACAGGTAGGGAGTGATCCTTTCCATGCAACACAATCACTGGTCTGTGAAAATAAAATCAGGTCTATGGGGCGTGACATATATGACCCAGTTTTCCCAGTATGAAGCAAATTTCTCCATTTTATGATTAACAAATGCTGTTGTCTTCTCCATTTTGTAAATGTCCATTGTAATGTCCATCCATATATTTAAAGTTGGGCTCTCCTGTGATAACCATTTCCTGGTAATACTCTTTTTACAGGCCACCAACAAGATATTTATTAAATGTTTATCTCTTTTTGGCCATTCCTCAGGTATGTGTCCAAAGAACATAGTTTTACTCTCGAAGGGTATTTCACGCTTGAAGATATCTTGTAGAGCCTTTTATATCTCTCTCCAATAGTCCTTCATGACAGGGCAGTCCCAGAAAAACGATGCTAATGACATGGTAATGGTTTGCACTTTGAGTTCAACAGATAGGGGGGTTATTGTCATAGTGGGACTTCTGACAGGGTGTAATAAAAAACCTAATCAAGTTTTTCCACCCAAATTCCCTCCATTTCTGTGAGCTGGTACACATCCATTGATACCTCCATATTGTTGTCCATTCTTCCTCGGATATAGTTATCCCTCCTTCCATCTCCCCTTTTTATTTTGATATATAAAGTTGAATGTGGTTTCATGTTTAATAGTCCTTTATACAAGCATGAAATAATTCTATCCACAGTTTCTGAGTTATAGGCTTTTGTAAACAATTCGGTCAAACATGTATTTGTCTTTATTACATTTTTCATCTTCGTATCAACATAGTGCCGCAACTGCAGATATCGATAGAAGTCTTGTTTTTCTAATAGATATGTCCTTTTAAGCGTTTCAAAACTGAGCAATTTCCATCTTTCATTACACTGCATAAGGTTGTTATACCCTTAGCTATCCAGTCCTTAAATCTAGAGTCCAATTTATTAAGGTGGTCGTTTTCACATGCTAAAAGTCTGTAATTGCTTGTAACAGCCTGTTTTACTGCGCTGCTCTGTGGTGTGAATAAATGCATGAAAAGTATTTTAAAATATTCTTTAGATAGTACAAAAATTCATTAAGGTGTGTCATTTATAAATAATTGGACCATCCTCTACGGAATAACTTTCCAGTGTGGTATTGTGATATACAGTACATATTTGACTCAATGTTAAGATATAACCTCCTCACTTTATCGTTGGTGTTTATTATCTTTTTCACTTCAAATAACAAGAGCCACGATGCCCTTTCAAAATCATCCAAGATTAAGCTTTAGAGCTGACAGCCGAATTTTGTGACCAGTAGAGCGGAGGTTAATCTCGTTTATCGGTTGCTATTTATAATGTGATTTTTTTTATAGTTTTTATATTCTCTATTATAAAGCTAATACTGATGATGTATGACTAATGCAGTAAGGGTTGTCTCATCTGTGTTTGTCCTGTTACAGGCGGCCTGTTGTGCTCTGGTTTGTTCGCGTCTGGTGTTGTGCACTGTGTCTATTGATGTATGGCTGGTAGTTTAAAGGTGGTCCAGTTTATCATGTTGTGCTGGTCTGGCCTGTCCTCTCATCTCTCAGCCTGTCACCTACCTAATGGGAGGCCATCCATCACATCTACAAACACAACACTCACACACACTCAGACACACACATTACCCCTTCATAAAAGACCTAACTTAGGGTACAGAGCTAAATATAAAGTACATCACTGATCTGGATTCATTCATCTTGGCAAGTAAAAACGAGCTACTACAGAGATATAATCCCCAACTCTGTTTCTAAAGACAGGGACAGTATAGACAATGGAGATGGATAATG